CGGGCCACAAAATGAACCAGAATCTTTGAGACAAGTGCCTGATTGCAAACAAGGGGAAAGACAGAGCTATGAGGATGCCCAGTTTATTTTGTCTCAGTCTGCCAATGAGGCGAGCACTTCTCTTCCCAGTAGGTAAGATGAGAGGCCTGCCTGAGGTGTCACTTTCTGTGAGTCTCCACAGAGAGGAATGAGGCAAAAGAAAGGAGGGTCCCCTCCCCACCCATGACTCAACATCTCTGCACCTCAGTCTTCTCTTTGGCAAATGATTGACAACAGAACCTATGTCCTGTGGTTGTGTGAGGAATGAACAAGATAATCCATGTGAGTGGCTTGGCCAAGTACCCAAAAACGTGCAATTGGAAGAGCAAAGCATGGGACTTTAGAAGGGAAAGAGATTGTTAGGAACATCATCTGACCTATTAGGAAACTGAGATGCAGGGGAGTCAAGACCCTTGTTTAAGTTCCATGGCTTGTTGCAAATATATTGTTGACATATTATTCTACACTCTTCAGAATAACCATCCTAGATGGCGACAGATGGAATTGCTGTTCCTTTTCCCAGACACCGTGGATTTCCTAGTAGGCCCTGTGTGCTCCTGCACTCACATAGCAATTAATAGCCCTTGGTGTGGTTTTGTGATTGGAACAAGATTGCTATATAGAACGAAGGTAGCTATTTTCACAATCTACTGTAAAGTAGTTAGGCAAGTGTTCTTTTGAAGTTGAAATAAATACAGTCAACTACAATTATTTGGCTCCGTTTAGCATACTGGAGAAGGTAATGGTTTAATGATATCCTAGTAGTCTCAGAAGGTTAATATACCATAGAAAATGAGTCATAAAATGCCCTTCATACTAATAACTCTGATATTACTGTTATGAGAAAGCACTAAATTACACAGAGCCAAAGTGTTTCACCTTCCCACCAAGTGACAATGTTATTAGTTTACAGTTCTCTATTTACTGGTCATGGAAGTACAGGATCTCGGAAGGACAGGGAAGCTGTAATATGTTTTCTTTGTTGAATGATAAATCCTCAGAACTTTATCTAGAACAGTTACTATGGCAAAGAAAATGGTCCTGTAAGCTGCCACCCCCAGGCCGCAGCTGCAGATCACTCATCCATGGCCTGTTAGGAACAGGGCCACACAGCACAAGGTGAGAGGCAGGCCAGCCAGAGAAGCTTCATCTGTATTTACAGCTACTCCCCATGGCCCGCATCATTGCCTGAGCCCCACTTTCTGTCAGATTGGCAGTGGCATTAGATTCCCACGGGAGTGACGGCCCTATTATAAATTTCACATGCAAGGGATCTAGGTTGTGTGTGCCTTTGGAGAGTCTAATTAATGCCTGACAGTCTGAAGTGGACTGAGGTGTGAGGCTAGCACTGGGGAGTGCTCGCTGCAAATACAGACTATCATTAGCAGAGAGGTTTGACTGCACAGAGACCGTTATAAATCATTTGCTTGCAGACTCGTATCAAAACCACTTCCCTCCTCTGGTCCATGGAAAAATTGTCTTCCATGAAACCTATCGCTGGTGCCAAAAAGTTTGGGGACCGCTGTTGTAAAGTCCACATGAATTTCTAACTTTCTGGCATACGTCCTCTAGCGCTAGCTTGTTAGACTGAAGCCTGCAGGGCTGAGCCTGGGGTAGCAGCTGAAGAGAGAGTTCTTACTGGTGGAAGGAAGCCCCTTCCTATGCAGGGCTGACAGGGTAAGGGGGTGCATTGTGGTCACTTGGACTGACACAGACATGAGGCTGGCTGTGTTTATTTGGAAAAGGGTGTGAACCCGTCCATTGCAAATATCCGCTGGAAACATGTGCCTAGCTTCCTGGCTCTTTACATGATACAGACTGACTGGTTGAGCTGTTTTTTATTCCCAGTTTGCTGTTGATTGGGGGCCAGTGCTTCCAGTCAGAGAGAAGCTGTGCACACCTGGAACAATCTCAGGGGGGAGAAGTCCCAAACCGGGCATGACGATGAGGCCAGGGCACAGCGAGGTGCCTTACCTTCTGTCACCAGAACAGTGCCTCTTTTATCTATTGATTTCTGTATCTGCCCCCTTGTTGCCACTGAGTATAATTTAAAGAACCAGGACCAAGGAGACATTGGATTCAGGTTATACCATACTCTTTCCTCACCTGTAAAATGTGTAAAATGGTGAGCTTAATGTCTGTTTGGCAGGATTATGGTAAATGTGGGAGCTCATTTGTCAGGTATTGTATATAAAATATACCCCTGAAATGGGGGGATGATTATTGTAGATATTTCCCATTAAAATTAGATAAATATAAAATTAATAAGAACATTCTCCCGATAGTTTATATAAATGTGTGTATGGGGAAATGTGTACATATATTTACGTGTGTGTATACGAATGTGTATGTTAACCTTACCCACAAGAACATCAGGAGATAAATACAGAGGACAGGGGGCTGAAGAGATCTGTCACATTTGCCTGGTTCGCCTTGTTTATCCCTGTGCTCTAGGAATAGTGATCCTTCATACTCACTTTTGCTCTAAGAAGTGACCCAGTTTGGACAGGAAGTTGTATGATCACCCTAATAAGAATAAAAAAGAAGGGCTCGGTGCCTGTGGCTAAAGCAGCTAAGGCGCCAGCCACATACACCTAAGGTGGCGGGTTTGAATCCCCAGCCCGGCCCGCCAAACAACAATGA